TAGTACCAATAGTTATAGGCGCCTTAGGTGCAATCCCAAAACATCTGGAGCACCACCTGAACACCACTGGCATTGATAAAATCACCATCAGTCAATTGCAAAAGGCAGCTTTACTTGGAACAGCTTATATCCTGTGACGATACCTCTAACATCATCAAACAACATCTGCCTATCCCAGGTCCTTGGGAAGGACTTGATAGGTGAATAAAAATGCCAAATTCAGTCTAAACATCTGGCTGATTGTGCAACCAACAGTAATAATGCAATATTGAAAAAAGAAAAGTAGTATTATTGGGAGGGGGGTTGCTGTTTTCAGATAGATGATAGGCAGATAGATGATCGATAGAGAGATGGAGAGATAAGTCTGCAACAGCTATACATTGATATTTCTACAGGCATGATATACGGATTGAACCCTGGCTTGAATGAATTTCAATGTCTCAGCTTATCCAGAATTCTGAGCCACAACTTACAAACCACAATTGCTTTGTTCACACCCTAAACCAAACCCAAACAAACTATATTATGGCTTTAGCATGTGTTATTAACCCAACCTTTGTATACACCCAGTGATAATGTTCATGTTCCCTGAGGAAATGGTGAGATGATTGCCAATTGAGAAAAGAATGCAGTTCTTTTAAAGAGTGTGAATTCTACAGGTTTGAAAAGTCTTGAACTCCCATGGAAAAGAACATAGGAGTTCAAGACTTTTGCATTTTCAGGAGACAATTGGAACCAATTTTGATGGTTCTTGAAATATATTTGTTGATTGTTCAACTATTTTCAGTTAGCAGAGATGAAAGAATGACCTCAGTGACATAACACTTGGTTCTGTAAAATTGAGATGAACGTATAAAGCAGACATTTCAATGCGCTAATGCAGAGAAACATTACTTTTTCCTTTACTAACAGTACATTCTTATGTAGGTTCAATCAGAAGTCCCATGGAATTTAGTGGGATTTATGCCAAATGTGTGTATGATTCCATCTTAAACCAAGAATTAGCATCTTTGAGTTTGCAGGATCTACCTGATCTTTTATTAAAACCTGAAGGTCAACCGAATATATACAGTTATCATTCATGAATTTTTAGATTAGAAATTTGTTCTGAAATGAATACAGCTCAAAGTCTGTCCACACAAATCACTTATGGTTATTTAAAATAATCTTCTTTTCAGCAGTTTGATTTATATAAGGTTGTCTGGGCTGTTGCTGTTATTGTTAAATAATTGGAAACCCAACCCTCGCCAATCTAACTTAATCCTTCCCTCTAAGATCTATTAGATCTCTAAGATCTACTAAAGCTCACTTCTGTCCACCTTTGGCACATAGAGTTCATTTGGCACAAATAATTCATTTGTGTATGGGGGGGGGTTAATCCTTGTGAGGAATTCCAAGTTTTTACATTATGAACCTTTGTTTGTAAATTTATATCATGTGGAGCTCATGCTTCAAGGAAATAGTAGAAGGAGTAGAAGCAGTTACCAGGATGTAACTACTAGCCATTTTCTCTGAAATCATCTTCATTTATTTGCTCCCATGTTATATAGATTGCAGATACTCTTGTCTTGTGTTCCACTGAGGTGGCATCTTAGTATTTGGGGTCATGGATGATTTTTCAGTTACTTTTAACTATCCTTCAGCTGTGTGGACTTCAGCTCTCAGAATCGCAGCAACAGTTACATTGGATTAGATGTAGAGTGTTCAAAGTCTACATCAAGAACAGTGTTTCTCAATCTTGGCAGCTTTAAGATGGGTAGACTTCAACTCCTAGAATTCCCCAGCCAGCCTTGCTGGCTGGGGGATTTTAGGGGTTGAAGTCTACCCATCTTAAAGCTGCCAAGATTTAGAAACACTGTTTTTTATGTAGAATTTGGACAATCTACATTTTATCCA